AGGACTATCATCTCTCTGGTGTGCCATGTACTCTGTATAATACTTCATTTTCATTTTCACAGCATAGCCATCGTCATCTTCACCTACTTTAAACTTTTGATGCCTGTACTTCTTTGCCAGTTTCTATGAATATTATACATTGTTAGAAGACATCTTAAAATTCCTGATGAACTGATTTTGTAATCCAAACTTATTAAATCACTGTCTTAAGCTGTCTTATAGAGACCAGTCAGCATGTACCAAGCCAGAAGCATGCTCCTTCTCCAACCTGAATAGTAGTCAACTCTCAAAGACAGACACCACTGGGACAAAATACAGCTGTCGAGAGAGTTGACTACTATTCAGGTTGAAGAAGGAGCAGAGAGTTAGAGATAAGTTACAATAAAATGAGTAAAACATAAAAAGAAAGGGACCAACATCAGGTGTTCATCTTTTTGAAATATCTGTCTAAGAGAGTTGTCCATAAAGAGAGGGTTTACTGAAGATCTTATCTGCACTATATGCTAATGGCCCATACATCGGTCTCATTGAAAATGTTCAGTACATGCCATCATGAATATGACCAATTTTGAATTGAAAGAGAACATTCCTTACAATATAGTCACATGATCTGTAATGGGACATCAACAACAACAACAACCATGACAAACAAACAAACAAACAAACAAATAAGATCTAATAAAGTAAGATCTTATCTGTAGGAGGGAAGCTGTAAGGAAGTATTTTGAATCCACTTTATGTAGGCACTGCTTTGTATTGAATTATCGCTATACAATCTTTTTCTGGTTGTCTGCAGATATTGTGTAGCAAATGAAAGGCTACTGATTAGCCTGTTCCAGGCATACAGATAGTACGGAGCAGGCAAAAAATTGGACAAAATTAAGCTGAAAAGGGGAGGGATCCCTTGCTCTCATCTCACTTTTTTTCCCTTGTATTGCTTTTGCGCTTGCCGTGTACGATTTAACTCACTCACCACCATCTGGGGCAGGGGGAAGGGGTGGGGGGTACCTTTATCAGGGCACCACAAAACACCTCTTTTTAGGAAAGCGTCTCAACAATTTTGTCACCGGTTGTAGCCACTGATAATGTAGAGTGCAATTTTTGCTTCATACCTCAACTGTCCACTTCCTCATTCCTTTCCAGTGATCCATTGCATGGGTCAGAACAACAGGAATTCTTTGTTTTTCATATCTTTCAACAAACTCTGATTTAGAAATTTTATTGCAGTCCAGTCTGGGGACATTATCTCTGACACTTTCAAGGCTGGTATCAAACTCCTCTGCATAATTCAACTTTGTCCAGCCCTCTTCACTTTTCAGTTCTATGTAAAAAGGAAAAACATAGTTGTTTAGCTGGGCTAATGCATATCGAAGGCAGAAGAAAGCTTTGTAAGTTTTACACCACTGTATACCTTGTAGATCTAACAAAGACCATGACAAAGGTAACTTGGGTAGATCTAGGGGTTGTTTGGGTTGCACCCTTAAAAACCATAACCTGTTTAAGACAAATAAGGAAGTGTCCCTCCCACAGTCGGGGCAGGAACTCAGCGCACCACAACACCAGCATCAGCAAAATTATGTTCACGTCTTAACTCTCTTATTTATCTGCTATTTTGGTTGTTTACTAATTGGTAATTGCGTACTGGGTGAATTTCTATGGCAAGATAGGCCCTTTGGTTATATTTAACTTTTAATTTAATATTTTTTATATTTCAGTTCCGGATCAAATTTATATTATTTAGAGTATACCACAAATTTGATTATAATGAGATTCTGTTGTTCATCAAAAAGGAAACATTCAAATAAAATAAAAACAAAAATTAATCACCTACATCGAAAAGAGATCAAAACAGCTACGTGCACTAAACAAAAACCAACCTGCTCTAGCTTTACGCTTAGCTGCCTCCACTCTTCGTACTGTTTTGCTATCCATCGCCTCAAGTTAATACACGAGCATCAAAGCATAGTTTCTTTTGTTCTACGATGTTATTATTTAAACCATGAGTCGACCAAAGCTACTCAGACAAGATTCTGCCCCTGGATAATACCGGCAAAAAATTTACGAAGACTGAACCATCAAAAACTTCGAAAACACGTTTGTAAACTTGTGCATGTGCAGCTTACCACTAGTACCCAGATCCCTTTGTTTCCTGGTGCTAGCCAAAAGGATCACAAGCCCTGGGAACTAGATGCTTTTAGGTTGCGTATCTTTATCAGGCGCTTTAGCGTGGCGAAGGTGAAATTTTAAATTGTGAGAAGCGCGAGACGAGAGGAAGAGCTTTATTTTTCTCCTCCCCTCGTCTCTTCAGGCAAAATGCCGCGTTCGCCTCGCTTGGCTCATAATGCGCCTGTTATTCAGGCTGGGGCAGTTGTAGGCTCGATTACCAGCCGCTGTTCGGGAAAATGAGCCCGCACTCATCCCCCCTCTCTTCGGGGAGGATCAAGACCGGACCCGGGAGACGGCGGAAATCGAGCCTAGGGCAGTTGTCAACTCTAATGCAGTAATAAGCTGTTTTGTGCAAAAGGTTCGGTTTCACCCCACAATTTCGTCATACGCTGTAAGCTGGTTACCGCTATAAGTCGATTTTTACTCTACACACACAGCTTCAGGAAAGCTTAACACCATAGTTAAAGAATATACAGTAAAACCCCGCGACTACTGAACCTGGATTTTTTAAGAACCTGTTAGGATACAATTTTCTGTAAAGCGCCCTCTATATGTTTCAAATTCTGGGCTAAACGGGTTCGTAGGTGCTTATTTCTAAAATCTATGAAAATAATTCTGTACACTTCGGCAAATAAGGTAAGTCAATAAAGACTTTTGTTCTTGGGCCATAGTAGTTTTATCAGAAATAAAACACACTGAACAGCGGTGATAAACATTGTGTGCTTTCGCATTCTTATACTGATACTGACTTGACGTTTCGTATGCTAGTCAACATACATGTTTCAAAACTGATCTAAAGTGACCGTTTCACATTATGACAGGACTATTATGTAAAATTTACAAGGGGTCTAGAAATGAGACTAAAAATTCAAAATTCTTAACGGTAAAATACAAAAGGCAACAGCTAATAAAGGATCCGCTTTTCACTGCTGTTGTTGACAAATTTCAAAATGATCCCACTTAGTGTTATGTCCGGCAGCACTGACAAGTTCAGCTAGCAATAGCTGACGAGTGGTCATTTTTAGTAAGAACCATGAAGTGTTCAGTCTTCCATGACATTCAAAATCAGCCTCTTTGGAGACATATAAATGCCTTATCACACTTCATTACTGCAATGTTAACACCAATGTTTAAATCAAATAAAATATTGTTTTTGCTAAAATCACAAATTAAATATAGGTTCTTTTTTTGTTCATTTTTACACAACTCCTAATTTTAGCACGCAGATTTTATATAAGGAAAAAGCTAAATCACATGCACTAGATACTCTTAGCTATATAGTATTTTCTTCAGAACTGATAAGAACCTATTTGTACCTAAATAGCCTAAACTTGTGCTTACTACATTTATATAAGAACCTGTTTAGGGTAACTTGGAGAAATCCAGATCCTTAGTCGCAGGGTTTTACTGTATTGTATTTCTCCAGTTTAAGGCCTGGTTCAAGGGGTTGTTTCAAAATATGATTGTTTTGCAATATTTCCCGCTGTCTTGAAAGATGTGACATTTTCACCAGAAGTAACTTGTGAGGTCTTACTTTGTGCCTCAACTCACACGTATGGTCACGTGACCTGTCGCACGGTCAAGAAATAGAATAAAGGAAATCGGCGAATTGTCATTCGCGTTTCGCGCTCACCTCTGCGCGAAAAAAGCGCCTGCGAAGGAGTCGGTGGCTTTCAATGAGAATAAAGGAAAAGGACGAATTCGCGTTTCGCGCTCGCTTCTGTTCAGAAAACGAAGCGTCTGGGGACGAGTCAGTGGCGAAGGCTAGAGCTGCTTTGCGAGAGACAAAATCATTAAAAAGGACGACCAAGGAAGGACTAGGACTACTTTATTTTTCATTGTTTTCTTAACCAAGCTTGTGAGTCCTACTAGCTTGTTACAGCTGGGCCGCGGTGACTTTTTCGAAAGTCTATAAACACACCTTTGGCAGCCAATACGATGGGTTGCAATCACTCACCCTGCTTTTATAATCAATCACGCTCTTCAAGATACTTTGGTTTCAAAATCGGGAGAGAACTCACTGCTTTGTCTGTCTCGTTCAGTTACCCAGGCGCTTCTTGGGATTTTCGAAGGGAGTCGTGGGGCAAGGATTCCTCAAGGAGTATACCCTGTTGGATTTTCTAATTATTTCTCAAAGACTTCTCCTTAGACACGTCGTAAGTCTAGCCAAATTACTTGATAATGCTGCAGGTAATAATCATTCTTTAGGGAAGAACCATTTATATTAGAAAAGTGATTTTTTTTCGGAGAGGGGGGTGGGGGGAGATTTTTGCAGAAACTTTTTTCCCGTTATTGCTAATGCAGGGTTTTTTTCCCTGTAACACTTCTACACGAATTTTTTTGGTGGACTTTTTCACTACGCTTAACAGCATACCTGTATATTACATGCAATATTGTTACTTTTTACTCTCTAATCCTTCATAATGATACCCTACATTTCACTGATTCAACAGGTTTTTCTCCATGTATACAACATCTACAACATGGGAGAGCAGGAATAAACTTGGAGTGGAAGGCTTCCCTGGCCTCTGTTATTCGTCTCCCACAACCCATCATAAGAGAATAAAAGTTTGTTAGGTATGTTGTTTATGAATTGAGGAACAACAATAAAGCATAATATATATGTACATTTGCCTCACTATGTAGTCACTTGGACTACGGTTTATATAAATATAATGAACTGACGTCAACTCATCTCACACCTTATCGTTAATAGTGGATCAGTGCCGTGGTTATTAATCCAAGAATTTTAATGCTGAAGGTGGAGCGGGGGTGTGGGTTAGTCGCTTGTCTTACTTTCTGTCAGAATTTCTATCTCGGTTTAGCAGAGGAAGTTTGGCATTATTCTTACTACTTTTTCTACCTTGAAGGTTAACTCTCCTTGTACAAGAATTTTTTTTGCAGTTTTGGTTTGCATGCATTTATTTTTCCAGTGAACTTGGCTTGCATAATTTTTTTTCGTACCCCATCACTTTCCTAATGGACCGTCCCTTGCCAACCGAATTGAAACATTTGAGTCTGGAGAACAGGTGTCGTTTATACTTAATGCCTGAGGGGTTAACAATAACCCTTAACTTCACTCAATGAACAGTGGAAATTTCAACCTGAGTTCGGTCCAATACGAGTCAATCAAATGGGCAGCCCAGTAGTCTAGACTATAAGGCTAGAACCTCATTCATGGATCAACACATTCGAGGCCATCAAATCGAATTAAGGTGCCAAAAGTTCAAATGTACTCTTTTTTATGATTACCAGACTGACCCATAGTTGTGTTGTTTTTTCTTTTGCCAGATTTACGTTCAGTAATAGTACACTGTATTTCCTGTTTGTCGAAAGGAGGGTGCAGCCAGCATCAAAGGAGGAGAAAGAGAAGCATTCGCATTAGCTCTATTTTTTATTGTATCAAAAGCCCAAGAGGCAAAACCTTGCCAATTCTAAAACTCTCGTGTGATTTTCTGCTATTGGGTTCGCATAGATGTGGCTCAGTAGCAGTCAGTAGCCGACAGACTATTGTCTAGGATGACTAGGTCCGATAAGTGGAGCATCAAGTAAAACTTTCGGCTGAGTGAAACGTCTATCGCCTTCATTGATTGAAAGGTTCATTTTTAAGGAGCGAATGAATGATGTATGTCCTGATTGCCACCCGAGAAGAATTCCGGATTTTTTATCCGTCGTCGGTTTATGAAATATTTTACGGCGTCAGGTCTGGAAAAGAAAACCCACAAACATTCTAGCACATGTGTAAAAGATTTACTATAATTGGATTATCCCAGCTATAAATGAGTACTAATTCTTGTAGTAGCAAGTCTCCCCGGAAAATCCGCTACCTATAACTGGCGTGCGTAATTGATATGGAATTCAAATTAATAGTGCCGGAAAGCACAAATTAATAACAATCTAGTCATGTGCAACTTATCAGTCATTAAAGTCATGGCTGCAATTGTTCCAAAAGTTACACTGAGTTTGATTACAAGGAATCATTTGGTTTCTTAAGTTGTTTTAGTTTTGTTGTGCGACCCGTTGATAGTCTTGATAGGTACCACTAAAAACGGGGAGTGAAGATTTCTTCTGTATTCACTTAAACGCAATTAGATACGGCGCTGTAAGCGCACACTTGTAGCGGAATTTTTAACAAAGCTTAAGTACCGTCCGCGATCCGCCGGGGACACACATATCAAATCTCTTTTCATTCAGGCGCCTCCCTTAAACATACACATAGAGCCGACGGTGGGCCTCTACAGTTCTTTAGTCATACTTGTAAACTCTCTGTAAGGTGAATACCTCTCCTCTGTGCCAGTCCAGCTACTGTCAGGGGCGCATAACGACGGTTTTCTCCTAAATACATAGAAAACACTCTTTAGGCTATCCAGAGTACTTTTAGATCTCTAGAAATGCATTCTAAGCGGCGCTATAAAATTTGTACCTGTTTGATCATCTTACGAGGAACTTGAGGCTTTTCGAACCCAGTACAAGGGCTTCCGGTGTTATGTTCCCGAAAATTTTAGGTGCAATTGAGCGTTTTACGAAAGTTCGAATTTTTCTTATTCCTCTCTCCATCACATTTTTGAAAACGAAAATTTAAGGCTTCCTTTTTCTAAGAAAATTAGCCTAATATAAGGAGTAAAATGTATAATCTCAGAGAACCTGGCTGCTGAGTAATTTCAATATCGTCAAAAGCGGTTTAACAAAAAAGTCTGTTCGTTCAGTTTGAGGATTTGCAGAATATGTACAGGACAACTGGGGAAAGGAAGTTCTAATCCGGTAATACCAATTAGAAGATTTGCAAGAATTTTAAAACATGTTCAGGGAAATGACATCAGCATCGCCGGAGATAAGTAATCGATTCATAATCGAAAGGAAGCAATCCGGCTATTGTTCTTGTTTCTTGTTTTCCATTTTTAAGTTTTATTGAATTATTCTTTTTTTGCTTAATAATTC